TAACTGATTAGCTTTGGCTTTGTAATTGTTTTCTTATAGGACTTTCAATGTGCTGTTTGTTCATTTGCAAGTCATTCTCAACTTGGTGCCATTGACCAAAGCAACCATAAAAAGGGCAAAAAAAGGAGCTTAATTAAATATTTGTTTTGTTTCTCCTTCTGATTTTAGATATTCTTTTGAATTACTGCAAAAATCCGAATACTTCAAATGTACTGAATAAATAAAAAATGCAAGCGACCTGAATTAATTTACGAGAGGAAAAATAAATGAATAAGTGTTATGTTTCCTTGTGTGCTTTGCAAGATTGCTAATTTCTAAAATATCCCTGACAGTTGATGAAGGCATTACACAGATGTAGCCAGACTATTGATTTAGAAATTCAGCTAGTTCAAGAGTACTTGTTCACCTGAGGGGAAATAACTAATGAAGACCTTGCTTACCCTCAGCTGCTTTGGGGTGGATCCTACTTACTCTGACTGAATAAGCAGTATCAATACAAGAACTGTACACTCTTCTACATTCTTCATGTTTTCTTGCAAGATACAGAAAAAAATAAGCTTGATTCAATAAAGTGTCTGGTAAACTGCAATGACAAGTCTGGCAACATCAAAACATTATCATGTATCAGTTTGTATCTTTGCTTTAAGGTAAGACATGTTAGTTAACAGCATTTCAGTTCATGCTTTGCACGTTTTCCAGGACACACTGCGGCAGCTTTGAAACATTCTGTATCAACATCAGACCTTAGCTCAGTGCTTCTCAAACCCTTTTCCATGTGGCTCCATCTTAATGCCTCAGACTTTGTGAGACCCATGTAAAAACTTGGGGATGGTGGGTATGAGTTATTGAGCAGGGTGGCATGTGGCTTCAGTTCAGCATTCCTCCTCATTATCTCTCCCTCACTATCACCCTATCACTATTGCCTCCTCACTCTTCATACCCCCCAACTTCTCCCCCTCCCTTCACACACACACAATCTCCCCCACCATCTCCCTCCACCTCTGCCCACACCCCCCCTTGCATCTCCCTCCACCCCCCCCCCCCCACCTCCCTTCACCACATGCCCAGAGTATTGCTTCACAAACTCCTCCACCCTGCCCCAATTTGTTTCATTGAGCAGTAGATGAAAATTCATGTAGAATGAACATTTCCTTTTCATACAGACTTTTTTTTACAACATCAGCAATTGAGGCTTTGTGAGCAATTGATTGGAAAAGCAAAATTTTTGAAGAAGCCTAGCGACTGTCAGGGATCAGTCACAGGTCCATGGCAGTTGTTGCTGCTATGGGGCTTGCAACCATACTGGGGTTGTTGTCCAGAATTTTGGAAGCTATTTTAAATTGATAAGTGAGCAATTAAGGAACGGCTTTGGGAGAGACCTGAACTACATGCTCCAGGAAAAATATATTTGAAGATATGTTTAACTGTCTGTCAATGTATCTGAAATGACCATCATTCTTCAGTTTTATATTAAGGCTAATGGATACCTGGAAATATTTACAACGTAACAGAAATGACTTTTGCAGATGATGTCATTAAACTTGAGAGGAAACACTTCTGTTTTAAAGCTATAAAGCAGATTTGTTTAAGCACAGACATTTTGTGTAGAACCCTTTTTACTGTCATCAGGATAGACGGTACTTTCCAAACCCATGACCACTACCATCTCAAAGCATAAGGCAGCAGATGCATAGGAACACAACCAACTGCAGGGTCCCCGTCAAGCCACTCACCACCCTGACTTGGGAATACTGAATATCACTTCTACAATGTTGCTGGGTCAAAATCTTGGAAATCTCTCCCTAAAGGCATTGTGGATTTACCTACAGTACCTAGACTGCAGCTGTTCAAGAAGGCAGTGCACTGACACCTCAAGGGCAACTAGGGATGGGTAATGACTACTGGTCCTGCCAGCAATGTGCACATCCCGTGAATGAATTTTTTTTAAGAATACAAGAAGTCTGCTCCAGTTGCAGTATAATTTGCCCATTTCCCAGTAGTTACTAATTGTGATGTGCCTCTAGCGTAGTCTGCAGATAACCCTTTCTTAACCCTTTTCAAACATAAAACCCAGGAATAAAGCAAGTTTAAAAGCTACAATTCAAATGTACAGAGATCTCCCCTTATAACGCATGCAATCATGTAGCATTTCAGATGAACAGACTTCCTCTTTAACCTTGTTGCTTTCTCATACCATGCTTTTCCAACTCTTTGTTCGAAACTTGTTTTCTGCTGATTCTTGAATTATTTTGATGCAAACCCATTTCAGCCAGTGATAATTCAGGGAACATTATAATGGCTTTAGTTGTCAGTGAGTGGGTGAAGGCAGAAATAAGCCTACTTGAGAAACATACAGCTGTTCTTTATTGTATATTGCCTATCAGCATCTGAAACCCATTTAAAGCAATAACAGTCACAGTTTCCATATTCTATTATGAGGCATTTTGTGTGCCCTTTCTTGCATGCTGGTTGACCTTCCCTCCAGGGGGCAGAATGTGGAGTAGGAACAGAGGAGAGAAATATGCAGGAATTGTATTTAATGGTCTTAGAAAAGCTGAGAAAGGGGAATGGCATTTTAGTTATGCAGTTATATTCAGCTTCAGCAAAAGCTAAAATAATCCTTTACATAAGACCAGAGATTTTTTGATTGAAACATCTGGGAATTCAGGGCAGGTTTTATTTGTTAAAGATAGGCAGCTTTACTGTGGGTTGCAATAAGCCATGCAATTTCAAAGGGCGAGTTATCAAAAAGAAAAGGAAATGTTTCACTGTAAAGTCACTGGATTCTCATTCTGATTACACATTGTGACAATTCCCATTACATGTTTTCAGTGGGTAATTAGTTTTACTGTTAATACAAGATGCATATAAACAGAATATTAATAGGGAGGTGTGCATATTATCTTTGACAGAAATTTCTCTCAACATTAACTTCCACACTGACCATGGGCAATAAAGGCCAGTAATGTTCTTGCTTGATTGAGTGAGCTGCAAAGATACATGATTGTATTTTCCAGTGGCAATTTTCCATTAAATATGGACTTGCTTTGATGCACCTTGCAACAGATTTTATTGCTGGGAGCTGAAGAGGATCAAAGGAGCATACCAAGGAGATCAGCTGGCATCAATCAGACTGGTCATACCCACCACTATCTCACCAACCATATGTGCAGCCCTGGCACATCTATCGTGTGTGAGAGTAAATAAACATGTTTATACAGCTAGATTTTGTCACAAGCATTTTTGCTATGAAGCCCTTCTTAACACTTAACACCATTTAAGCTCCAGTATAACTGTGTATGCTGAGCATTGAAATTACTATAAGATTCATCAAGGACTTTGTATTGGCCAGCAGTATCAGGCTGAGAAGCAATACTTTGCAGAATGCATTTATGTCTTTGGACATCCTTCATGGTTTACTTTAATGTTTATTTAATATCTATTCCCAGATCTTGTGGCTCATGCAAACAGCATTGCCATTGGCCATCATATCCTCATGTTTTTTAAGCAAATAGGGTAGCAGTCCTCAAACCCAAATCACACAAAAACTCCACATCACCATGTTGAAATGTTCTAGCACTTCTTGTCCAATTTTCTGGTTAAGATTTTTTATACATATAAAAATTCAGGCTCCGTTTAAATATTTGTTTGTGTACAATACTGCTGGTTACTGCTGACTACTTACCTCAAAAAGAGTACTAATATATCCAAGAATATACAGAAATTCATTGACTTTGACTTCCCTGAAGGTGTAAAGAGGTCTTCCTTTCTGACGAAAGACCAATGGTAGCCATCTAAGCTAATGGCTGAGACAGTTAATAATTTAATTATCTTGAATACTACAGAATAGGCTAACACTCCAGATCTAGACTAACCCAATGTCTAATGTGGAAACATGGTTCAAAAATTTGAGAAAGCAGCCATTTTAAAATTTTGAACTTAGAAGTCTGTCTGTGAAGACTACTTTGTACAGAATTCTCAGGAGGATCATCTAAACCCCAACTGGGAAACAGGAAGATATCCTAGACCACTACTGAACAAGACTACCAGCACAAACTTCTAGGTGCAAACAACTGTAATTTCATGTAATTAAGAACCAAACCCAGCAATTGCATCAGAAATTGCCATGCATGATACATCAGGCAGAAGACACATTTTTGGGCACCTTTGCACACCAATCACAGAAATTCTAGCCTGTAATGTACAAAGATAATTTTGGACAAACTGTGCTTGCATAGCAACATTAATGGCATAAGCTGCTAGATCAGTGTCCTTGATCCAACCAACTTTAGATGGTTCTTTAAAGGTCTTTCCTCCATTGTTATACTAGAACTGGGAATGTTCACTGATAATTGCGTGGTGCTTTGTTTAATTCACAACTCCTCAGATACGTCATCAATATGGCGGCAGAGTAGGGCTTCTGAGGTTTTTTTTCTGCTTTTCATTTTTTTCTTCTCCTTTCCTTTACTTACCTTTTGTGCTGATCTCAGATAGCATCAGCAAGAGATACCAGTGTGGACTTGAGTGAGCCCAGCATGTACCTTGTGGCAGTGGCATATGTGCCCAGCCCAGACTCGAGTGAGCCAATACTTATTTTTCTGGGGTGAGCACAGGATCAGGCATCGGAACCATTGGCTGCTACGTCAGAGACGACATTTGTGTGGTAGGCCGAGTGACAGAAAATAGTGCCTGAGGATTGGCAACTTCACCGTTAGTTGGGTCCAGCACTGGTGGCAGTGAAGCGGAGTTGGAAAGGCGACATTGATGTGGTGGGCCCTGTGACAAGAGATGCCGCTCTGACATTGGTGGTCCGACGCAGGTGATGGCGGAGGAGAATCAGCCCAGTGACGAAAGATAGCACCTGAAAAATAGCGATTTCGTCATTGGTTGGGTCTGGCGTAGATGGTGACGAGGCATCATTGATGATGAGCTGGTTCACTGTATTTTACTGTTTTTCTCACTGTAAAATACATCTGATAATAAATTATTTATTCATTCAGGTAGTGAAGCAGTCCACAAGCACACGTAGAAAGACGTGGACAACACTCAAGATTGTGGCAGGTTATGTCTGTGGCACACATACGCCAAACAGTGATCATCTCCAACAAGAGAAACCTATCACCTCCCCTTGGTGTTCACTGGCCATTATCCATATCCAGGGTGTCACCATTGATCAGTGGCTGGATCGGTCTATCCACATAAATATTCTGGCTAGAAGAGCTCTGTGATGATCAGCTCAGCTCCTGATTCCCCAAAATGTTTACAAACTTTACCTGTAACCAATGTCTGGGTGTGACCTGTGTCTAAGAACAAGTATGTGAGACATTATGTTTTAAATTCAGGTAAATGCCTGATAATAAATACTGTTGTGAGTTTTTGAATAAATATCTTGCTGCTAGAATTATTTAATTGACTACACACCCCAAGGATAAGAGAATGCAACATCTTCCATTCAAGATATACTAATCACAGCTGTAAAGAAAATGCACAGTTTTGTCAGCATACCTCAATGAGTGCAGCTGCTACAATATTCAAAAAGTTCAAACTCTCCAGGGTACTCGATTGGTATCCAACCCCACCTCCCAAACCTTTATTCCCTCCACCACTAGCATATAGTGACAGGAATGCGTGTTTGCCTACAAGATATATGGCAACAATCCTATTAACCGTGGCCCTAACCTCGCAAAGGAACAGAAGCACCAGGCACATGCGAACACTTCCACCTGCAGTTTCTCTTCAAGTTACACACTTCCTGACTTGGGACATCCTTCACTGATGTAGGGTCAAAATCCCAGAAGTTTCTCCCTTATAGCATTATAGATGAACCTACTCCACATGGACTGTAGAATTAAAAAAGATGCCACCTTATCAAGGGTAATTGGGAATAGGCAATAAATGTGGCCTTTGCTACTGCCAACCTTATCCTATAAATGAATAAAAAGTGTCCATATACAAGTGGTGCATTTATGAAATTGATGGTTGTCGTGAAGTTTAAATTATCATCTTTGTGATGAATATCATGTCAGGAAGATACATTTTAATAGTTGCAAGGTTTCTTTTCATAAAATATGTTTTTGAACAGATGTTGCCTTCCTCAGGAATTTCATTGCTTGCAAATAAAACATTTGCTAGCACTTAACACGTTCCCAGGTGAGAAGTTTGGGCCAGATGCAATGTCAAGTTCCCTGTCGTCTCCTACAGCAATTGGCTAGATTTCAAACTGCAGAAGAACAGTCTCTACTGTGCCTGTATAATTGTGACAATGGCCAGTCCAGCCATCTGTAAAGTCACCATAAACAAGACTGCTGTTCTAGTGGCTAAAGTGAACGTAGTTATTTTCTTGCTAATTCATGCGCATTGAAAATTATGCTAACATTTCATTTCATTTTGTACTGTTTCAGCTGGCAGTTACAAGACTGTTTTCCTATCACTTAAAATTATAACAGCAGTGAGCAAACTTGCTGTACTATTACTGTCCCTATGAACATCTTAAATATCCTCAAGAGCATTGGGCAGTACTGAAAATTCCAGCATGCTAGTGGCATATTCCCAAAATCTTTAGGACCTGGAAACCCAGAATATTCACCCCACATGCTTGACATTAAAACTTTTGTCATATCGGTGTAAAATCTATACTCAATCTCTGCATAGTCCATAAAAATCATACAAATTCAAGATTCAACCAAACAAAATTAAAATAATGTATCACAGTGAATGATATTTTTAAAACTGCCTTTTTTGCTTTTTTATTTGAAATTTCATCCATAGCCTTGGTTGATAGAATATTTTTCCAAATGATGATTTTGATTTAACACTGAGCTGCAGTAGGAAGGATAATCAGAAAAATCATCAATGACTAGTGTTTCTTGTTTTCAGACAGCTTATTGATGTGCATCATTGATACACACTCTGGAGCAAATCAAATTCCTGGCTCCTCAGAAAGTGGTGTGACATGGAATAGCCGGTGAAGGGCAGAGATTGGAAGGAGTAAAAACATTGAAAGGGATGTAGTGCTATCAAAGATAGGTACATTTTTCTCATCTAGCTCAGTCTAACTTAGGATCTTTCAAAGAATCATAGCAATTTGTTCCCTGTATTTAAAAATAGTCTAAACTGGCAACAGAGGTTGTTCAAAAAAGATCCACTAGGTTAATTCCTGGGATGAAGGAGTTGACTTATCAAGAATGTCATAAAATGTATCTGAGCTTTCATCTATTTAAGGCACATTCATCCTCAGCACTCACTGTGGTCCCTCTCCTGAATACACCGCCTTTTAAATCCTGGTCTTCAAATTTTCCCATAGCTATCCTGAACCTCATCTTCCTGCACTGCTCCCATATTCATCAATCCTCTGACTCCAGCCTTTTGTCTATCCTGTCCGCTTTTAACTGCACCATTTGTGGGTGATCTTTTAACTCCCCCACCCTCATTCTATGTTACTGTAAATATGTATAAAAAAGGGGAAAACACTGACAATTCCAGCATACCTCATTATCAGAACTTTATTGAAGCTGCCTGATTGGCTGAAAATGTCCAGTATCCGCAGTATTTTGTTTTTATATGAGTATGTACAATGAATTTCTCTACATATTGTGTGCTTCTTGTTCAAATGTAGTGAGCTATTTCTGGTTCTGTAATCCACCACTTGTTAAATGCTATGCCGTCCTCTCGTGCTAGTTTTGACTTTGAATATAGACAGTTGAGGATTGACAGAGGCTGATTTAGCTAATGGAAGTTCCTACCTCTGGTATATTCTTACTCTCACCATGCCACTTGTAATATAATTTCATCACTTTGCCATTTTCAGTTGTGCAAACCTCACTTGCAGTTTATGTACTTACTGACATTTGTGCCACTTCAGTATTTATTTTTGTGTGTTTTTAACTGCTTGGTTTTTAACTCTTGGCTTACCCCTAAACTCTCCATCCTTGTACATCATCTCCATAAAACACAGCTCTTTGACCAAATTTTAAGTCATCTGCCCTAATTTTTTCATTTCTTGACTTGGTGTCAAATTTTGTCTTATTACGTTCCTGCGAAGTGCCTTCCTAGTTTTTCTTACATTAAAGATACTATATAAATTTAAGGTGTTATTGCTATTATTTTCCTTCACATCTCTGTGAATGTTTGGTAATTCCAATTTGTACTAATAGTCAAACCTTTTCATTGACCTCTAATTTTCCTTGGATATTGTTTTATGTCTTCAAAGCAGCTGATAGCAGCCCTCTTCTCTCCTTTACATATTGTGGTGTAGAGGATACCGGTACATGAGGAATATTGAAATTTTTGCAAATATTTCTCATCATATTTACAAATTCACGAAAGGTTACGTAGACCTGAGCTGCAGAACAAAGGACCAAGTGATATTTATACTGGTTATGTAACTCATTAACAGCTTGAGAAACGTTGAGAAATCACTATTACAAGTAGCTATGAGAATTTTATTTTGTGAATACCAACAAAACCACTTTCTTTGGAATTGAATGTCCTGATGATTTAGCTAATGTGTTATCAAGTACAGTGAAAAATCAACAGCTCTTCTTGTTAAAAATAGATGTAGCTTTCACAGAGGTTTTGATGAATTTTGGCACCTACATAATAAAAGCTTCAGGTAGTGATGAAAATTCTCCACATGCTTTTATTTTGAGCTGATCAATTCTGAGATAAAGAGTATGAAGGTTTTGTTGCCAAAACACATCAGTTTGGATTTTGCTGCAAAGTGCAATCTACACTATATATAGAGAATGAAGGATTAAATCATCCAGACAGTTTTATACACCTTTGTGAATTGGACTAAAATTGGCAGCAGCTTGCACTTGTATATAAAAGTCTCATTGTTGTCAATTTGTTTTGAGGTGTTCTTATTGTGCGAGATTTTTGTTAATACTCGTGTTCACTCTGCTAAAAGTAGCAGGATCTCTCATGAATTTGTTGTGAAGTAGCAGGAAGTGTAGGCGATGGCCTAGTGGTATTACCTCTAGTAATGTTCTGGGAGCCATGGCAGATGGTGGATTTTGAATTCAATAATAATCTGGAATTAAGAGTCTAATGATGACCAGGAAATCATTGCCGAATGTCGGGAAAAACCCATCTTGTTCACTAATGTCCTTTAGGGTAGGAAATCTGCTATCCTTACCTGGTCTGGCCTACATGTGACTCCAGACCCACAATGTGGTTGACCCTTAACTGCCGTCTGGGCAATTAGGGATGGGCAATAAATGCTGGTCTGACTAACGATGCCCACATCCCATGAATGAATATAAAAAAAGCTGCAAGTAGAATTAGATGCTTCCTACCAGAGAAATACAGAACTATCAGCTCTTGGTTGAGTAGCTGTTAGTAGGCCAAATCTTTCTGTAATATGTAAACAGCAACAAGCCAAGGAGAAATGTATGGGCAAGGTAAACAGGTTGATCAGATCAACCTGTCAAAGATTGATACACCATCATAAAGTAGAGAGACAGACATGGAGAAGTAGAGGGAGAATGTAGCTAAAGTTAATACATTTAACCTAGAGAAGTGAAAAATCTAACTTCAGGGAATCCCAGATGTTGGTACTGAGAGCACTGCACTCTCAAATTTGAAAATATAAATTCAGGGCAGCAAAGATTTAACCAAAACAAAACATATGGTAAATACAAATGGCTAAAGTTTAGGAGTGGCAAACTAGCATGATGGAACAAGACAAAATACTTTTAACCCATATATTTAGATGTTTATCACAGGTTTAAATGTAAGAATGCACAGCAAGATGGTAGTTAAGATGTACCACTTGGTGTTGGATGTCTGCATTAAGAGTAGGGGGAGTAAGTTTAGGGACAACCTTATACTTTGATGACTTAAGGAAATGATCCTGACATTTGGGACCACTGGGGATTAGTCATAGACTTTGGTACAATTAGATTAGAGATCCTAGAGTTTGCAGCTTTAAGTGAATCTTTCACCTTGTTATCAAGTGTTGAGGGGAACCTGAAGATATGGCTAACTTGTGGATTTCTGGTTTCTATGAGCAGTGAGGAGAAAACATAAGTGAAGGGAGGGGATCAGGGTAAAGGTGAGGTGGGGGTAGTTTGAATTTGTAACCATTCCAGATAAATTTTTGCGCTGTTTCTCTTCATCTATGTCTGTGCATCTTTAAGAGGTAGTTAGTATATTTATGTGTTCTATCAAAAATCCATGAAAATTATGGGTTTTTGCGTTTGCTTTCAAAATTGATTAATTTCCTTTGGTATAAATAGACTCAAATTAAGGTGAGGACAGAAAATTTGTGTATTCGTCTCAGCTTTATATGCTTTCTGAAGATTAGAGAATTTAAAGTCCAACTAAAGCTATGAGAGCCCTTTAGTGTCGCTGGGTCAAAATCCTGGAACGCTGTCCTGAATGGCAG